TTAAGTACCTCAGCCTTAAGAAGCTCGCTCTGAAGGCACCGTGTCCACATCACCCGCGCACCCAGCAGGTTGTAACCTGATGTAGTTGCTGCTTTTGCCATTATGTGGATGCGCACGTGCTCGCAGACTCTAGGTAGGTGCGCAAAGCCACACGATGCCACCTCTGCCTTCCTGAAAACAGTTCTGTGAACAAATGAGCCTGTTGAATCTTACGTCCCTCATCCTGCCAGCCTCTGCTCCCCTCCTTCATGCTTCTCCTTGCAGATCACCTGCAATCCTTGCCCCTGGCCAGGGGCAGCTGGCAGTGCTGCTGCGTGTTGTCCAGAACGACTCCTGGCACTGAGTGATCACTCTCTGGCTGCCCTTCCTGCAGCAGGGCACGGACCTGGATCTCCCCCAGCCCAGCTGCAAGTTCTCATGAGCCTGCTAGGAACGTCCTGATCTGGGACTGTCTCTCCCAAAGTGAAGGTGAAGTGTTACTGGGGGAGACCCTCAAAGGTAGACTTGGCAGAGACTACGGAAGCCTCTTCCTGCCGAGTCCTACTTGACAAATCTCTTGTAAATAACTTTTCCTCCTATAAAATGACTAAAATTCAGCCAATGTATGATTAACATCAGTTTCCTTAATTCAAATAAGACTTGTATCCATTTTGGCAAGACCTCACCCACTTATGACAATTGATGTGGTCTGTTATTAGACGTATAATAACAAGCCATCACCGCAGATGTTTCACCATTAAACGTTTAAAAGCAAATTTAGTTCACAATGTATTGTTTTCAGTGATGTAACAGTCTCTTATACGAGCACCAGAGAAGACAGCGTTTGAAGTTTCAAAGAGATGGGGGAAAAAAAAAAGACTCCTACCTGTGCCACTGGTCAACAACTGCCTTGGAAGGTAACCTCCAGATGATCCTGGGCTTTGGCTCCCCAGTCGCTGTGCAGTTCAGAAGCAACTTATCCCCAAAATTCAACTGAGTCATTTCTTGAGAGGCGGTAGCTATTTTTGGAAGCGTGTCTCTGTGTTCCACCATGAGGCTCACCACCCTCCTTTCCGAGCCAGTCGAGCTTGTGGCTATGCACTCGTAATTCCCGCTGTCAGACGGGACAATGTTGCTGAGGTGGAGGGTACCGTTGGAGAACAGGAACAGCTTTGCGTTTACAAACTGCAGAGGCTTCACCACCGTGCCATCAAAGAGGACCCAGTGGACAGTGGGCTGAGGATTCCCTTTCACAGTGCAAGGGAACTTCAGATTTTCCCCCATCGTTCCTTCAACACGTTGTCTTTTCTCTTCCAGAATAGTGGGAGGTGCCGCAACGACCTGCAGTTTTACAACCAGCGTGTCAGTGCCCGCTGGGTTTTTAGCCATGCATGTGTAGAGGCCCCTGTCGTAAACAGTGACTTCCTTGATAATTAAAGTGCCGTCTGGTTCCACATGAACTTTGTTATTTCCTGCAGAAGAGCTGGAGATGTGCGTTTTATTTGCTAGAACCCACAAGATGGTGGGAGGAGGCCTGCCCTCAGCTCTGCACTTCACTGCCACGGGCTTTCCGGAGTGAGCGGTGAGGAGCTGCCACCTGCCACCGGTGATGCGGGGCGGGTAGGCCACCACCGACAAGGTGACCAGGAGCCGTGCCGCGCCGTGCGGGTTGGCCGCGGTGCACAGGTACTGCCCGCGGTCCTGCAGGCCCACCCGGGCGATCGAGAGCGTGCCGTTGGCAAACACCATCCATCTGCCGTCACCTCGGCTTTCCAGAGCATCGGTCCCTACGGAAGCAAGGGGACAACAGCGCAGCACATCAGAACCTCTCTCTTCTGTTTCTTTTTACTCAGTCCCTGAAAACACTTTCCCTATCCTGGTCTACTTTGCCCAAATAACCAAGAGACTAGTGATGAGAAAGAGAGAAATAATAGTATTTTGCATATACAGTGACAAAGCTTCAAAGTAAAAACAAAACTTAGTCCTCTACTAGTAGAGACAAACTTTGGATAAAGCAGATGGGGCTTTGCATATTCAAAAATATTTTGGCATAGCTTTAACTTGATTGGATGGTTTGTTACCACAGTCAGATTTTTTTCACTTGTCTCACTATTCTGAAATAGCAGGTAACATACAATAAATATTGAAGTCTTCTCACAATAAGCACAGAATTATAGTTAAATATAGATTCTATATTTCTTTTTTTTTATTATTTCCCTAAAGAACTGTTTCATAATTAGTAGTAAGACACTCCAGCAAGTGTGCTGGGATGTCTTTCTTTTTCACTGTTTCAAAGTTCATCTTTTCACTGATATTTCACGGTACTCTTAAATGAAGCAATACTTGAGTTTGGCACACAAAACATCTGCCAAATTACCCAACTATAATGGAAGGTAAATTCTAGAGAGGTTTATCAAGCATACCTGACGACATCTTGGTCCACTGTATTGTTGGACGGGGGTTACCAGTAGCTTCACAAGGAATAAAAGCATCTGAATTAGCTAGCACAGTAAAAGCAGCTAATTTTCCTCCAATTATTTTGGGCTTTGCAAAATGATTTCTGCTTAAAGAGTCCAGGGCTATAGGATTGTTGGTGGTAATTTCTTGATCCTGTCTCTTTTCAGACCAGCCTTTGACAGAACTGTCCTTCTCCCTTCCCCACAGAGGAGCATACGGAGTCACGATCTGTGATGACTTCAGTATGGTCAGTGTACTGCCAGTTAACGTGTTGCCTCTCTCCGTGACTTTAGCAGAGGGCTTCTGCCAGAATTTCATCTCCCCCCATGGAGGCGAGGTGGTTCTCGCAGCACGTGCAGGTGGCATGACTGCTGTTAGGGCTGGCAGCGGGGTGGGATGCTGAGCGCTGGGAGGAGAGATGTCTGTGGATGCAGCAGGAGCTCTGGTACTTGACTCGGTTCTTGCTGGGAAAGTGGGCTGTGCAACATGGTTTTCTTGGGTAACTCTCTCTTCCATTTTCGGGTGTGGTTTTTCATCTGCCGTTGCGGTGGCTTTGATGTGCTGAGCGGGTTCTGACCCAGATGTTGCATAGACTGTGGCAGGTCGTGCGCTTGTGGCGCTGAAAGGCTTTGAAAGCCGTGGTGTGGGTTGGGTTGTGGGTGCGCGGCTCGGAGCAATACGGCTGTCGGGTGGTAACGTGGCTGACTGGATGTTCCTCCGTCTGACAGGGCTCGCTGATGTCTGCCTGGCTGCTGCAGGCACGTGCTGAGGGGCGTCTGGTGTGTTGAGGATCCACAGTGCTGGCATTTCTGTCACCGAGACTGCGCTTACGCTCTCAGAGAGAGGTTTTGCAGACGCAAGACTTGTAGGCGTAGCTAATGATTTAACTGTTGTCAGGACAGGCGTGGCTGTATTCACCGATGGACTCGCTGCAGTGCTGCGGCCTGCAGTCACGCTTTGTGACGCAGGTGTTTTAGGGGGCCTCTTCCTCCTCTGACCTCTCTTTCTTCCCATTCTGAATGTTTTATTTTTGGTTATTTTGGTGTCAGTTTGAGGAGTAATAATAGGTATAACTGTTGGCTTCAAACTTCTTACATCCATTTCTTTGGTTGCACTAGTTGCAGGATTAGAGTAAGACTGCAGTTTTGCAGTGGGAAGATGTTGTTCTGACTTACCATTGCCATAAAGAATGGGTTTGTTTAAAGACAAGAAACCACTGCTGTGATTCCCACCTGTTGGAATAGGCGTAAAGTGCAAAGGAGACATATTGGACATAGGTAATGCTGCCGTAGTTTTAGGAAGCACGGTCGATACCTCTGTTGATAGAAACATCTCTCTCTGTTGTTTTGGTAGCTTCTGAAGAAGGACCTCTTTTTGTGCACCACTTCCAAAGAGACGTTCCCAAGTAATTTTTCCTCTTTGGGAATTTTTTGTTGAGGTTCTAGGCTTAATGCTGGGTGAGACGGATTCAAGGGTAGAAGATATCTTAGTGCTTATGGTATGTGTAATTTCTGTTGTAATATGAGCTGAATGGATTGCCGTTGTTGGTTGTCTGATGCTAAAAGGTTGGACTCTATCAGTATTTGTCTGAAATGGAGTATTGGTCTCCAATTTCCATTGAGGAGTATTTTTTGTAATTAAAGGCATGACTGTCGTAGTGACTTTTTGCCTTGCACTAGCTTTGTTTTTCTCTTCCCTGAGGAATGCTGTGTTTTGATGAGTACCCGCTGCGTGCTCCAATGGCATACTCATGGTAGAGGGGGAGGACAGAGGTGCTTCTGGGCTCAATGGGTTGATGGAGCTGCTTAAATTATTTAAGGTTGGTAAATTTGATACATATTTCATATTCAGTTGAACATCTGCAGCCACAGCTATACTTCCTCTGACAGATCCTGGCCTCCCCAAATTGTATCTGTGCTCCTTCATACTTGGAATTCGTCCTGGTCTAACAATTCGTCTCCTACCAGAAATTTTCCTTTGTCTTCCATATGGCTGCTGGGCCTGGGGTGTGAGAGTTGTAACATCCTGAATAATCTGAATTTGCTGATGAGTAAGGATACTCAAGTCCAATGGTGGCTTAGGAGTTACTCGTTTCTCAGTACTATGAAAATAAATGTGACCAAATTCAGGACTTGGTTCACTGACTGTCACTACAGATATCTGACGATCTGTTTTGGTGGAAATCTTGTCAACAGACTCAGTAAAAACATGTAGCTTGTCCACTGTGTTTTGGGAAGGTACAGACTTGCTGGTGACTGTAACATCTGTCACAGGTGTCGCAGATACAGATTTTAAATGCTGGTTATTACTTTCCCCAGAATGTACCAACCTTTGCCCAGCAGAGAAGAGTGTAGATGTTCTACTTGCTTTTGATACAGTTGATTGATTTATACCATTTGCTGATATTTTACTTAAATTAGATCTTTCCCATGAGTTTGTAATTGTAGATTTTAGGTATGTTTGTGGCCTTCTGCTGTCAGATGACAGAGACTGTGAAAAAGGAGAGAGTAGGGGAGTTACTGCCTCTGCAACCAGGGGAGGGGTTTTCCTAGCAGGGCTGTTATTCACAGTCATCTCAGGCCCTGCAGTTGTCATGCTTTCCATTGCTCTCCCCAGAGGAGATACAATGGCTGTTCTTGTTACTGGTATCATGAATTCTTCTTCTGGAGAGATCAGATCACCAGATATTTCCTCCTCATCGCCAGGTACTTTTGAGAACTTACGGACTTGAATAGGTGGTTTCGTTGCAACTTCTCCTCGTTTTTCTATCAATGTTGAGTTCCTCTTTGTTTTTTCCAAAAAGGCTGCCCAGCGCTGCGGATCGACTCTCCTGGCTGAGGAAACAAACTGTCTTCTGTGTCCTCTAAACCGCCTGCTTATTTTGTCCCTGTAGTGCCTGTAAGTCATTCTCCCGTAGCTTCTCCGTTTATGTGCACTCTGTGCGATCCGATTCCTGGATGCTGAGGCAGCAGATTCCTGATTAGCTGTCAAGGTAGCTAGAGTAGCTAAAGGATGTTTCTGTCTTGTAGCAGAAGCCAGCATTGCATTGCCAGAGCCATCGCCCTCTTCCCATTCTCCCACAGCTACATGCTTACTCTTTAGAGTGGTTTCATCCTTTCTAACTAGCACTTGGAAAACCAAAAGATCAACACCATACTGGTTGGCTGCAACGCATCTAAAGTAGCCACTGTCTTGCTCTGTTACCCCTTGTATTCTCAAGGTACCGTTGTCAAAAATATGTTTGTTTCTTGCAGAGTGATGAAGAATCACATGCTGAGGTAACACCCAGCTAATGGCAGCATCTGGAACAGCAGTGGATGTACAGGGAAGGTAGAGTGTGCTGCCAACAAATGTAGAAAGTTGGGCTCCATTTACACTGTTGTGTTCCACATGAAGATCGACCACAGTAATTCTGAATGTGAGAGTATCTGCATCGTTGTAATTTGTGCCGATGCAGTGATAAAGCCCAGTGTCAAAAGTATCAGCTGTCCGTAACGTGAATGTTCCAGTTTTAACTACCATGATTCTTCCATCCTCACTGATATAAGGAGCTCTAACTTTGCTTCCATCAGCCAATATCCACTCTATTGCAGGAGCTGGTTCTCCAATTGCTTGGCACTCCAGTTCTACGGTCCCCCCGACTAAAACAGTGTGCTCCGTTTGTGTTTTGTTGTCCCTGGAGATGATGGTCCAGTTATTTCTCGCCTGTTTTTTGTCAGCACTGGGCAAAATAATCTGAGCATCCGTGAAGTATTGGATGTGCAATGTGTTAAGTGTGGTTGCTGTCCGGTCTAGCTGTAATGCTACTTTGCTTTGCATTAACCAAGACGGTTCAGCTCTCAGTTCAGTCTCTATATTGGTAAAAAGTTCATCTCTTTCAGAGTAGATTTGTTTATATTTGTAAAAAGGCATATTAGTTACTAGGACATTCCTTTCCAGTTTTAAGGGAGAATTACTGTACAGTGCCAGTATGCTCCATAGCTGCTGAATATGTTCATAATCAATGCCACACACAAGAAATGCTGAGAATGAAGTTTTGAGTACTGTACTGTTGCCGTCTTTGCCAAATGAGATGGGAGACATTTCTTTAGGTTTTTGGATGTTGCAAACCAAGTGACCTTGACTTCCTGCTTGGTCAGTCATGTTCAAAACCATGGATCCTATAGGAGCTATGAAGTCCTTGGGAGATACAGAACTGAAATCCCCATCATCTGACACTGTGAGGTTTTTAAATTTCAGGGAGTCATGTATGGCTGGCTTAGTGCAGGTTAAAGATGCAGAAGGAATATCCGCTAAGCTTTTCCCTTTACGATTTGTGGGACTAGCACAAACCGGGCATTGCTGAGCACCAGAACTTCTGTCTTTTTTGCACTTTATAACATCTGAAGGGAAGAAAAATGCAGTAAGCTTTTGTGATACAATTTTTAGTATTAATAAAGGCATATAGCTACCAGCAAGTTGTTCTCTTGAATAAAATATTAACAAAGTTTATCTTGAAGTAACCTATGAAAACCTAAAGTAACCAAAGAAAACCTATGAATTTTCTCTGATGAAACTCCTTAAGGACCGTTGCTGTTGCAGCTCAGTATGGCGTGCTTCTGTCCCAGTGGTTTTACACCATGCCAGGAGGGCTCTGCTCTGGTACATGGCCATAGCTTTGTTCTGAGAGACATGGGCTCTATCCGTTTGGGGGTAACACTACACTGTCGTGTGCAACCTCCACTCAGGGCAGCAACAGAAAAAGTCCTTGAGTCCCGTTCCTTATTTCTTTTTCGAAGAATTGAGTACAACGTTGCCTTCACTCTTGCCAGTTACATAAAAACTAGCTTCCTTATTCCCTGTGGATTCTCCTGGTGCACAGAAGCTTTGGACTGGCCAAGGAAAACATTCCATTAAGGAAAGCTGCACTTGGAAATGCCTTAAAACCACTGGATTAATTTAATCCGGGAAACTGAATGGTATTAATCTGTTTATCCTGACTACATGCATCTACAAAAATCCTGTCTTCCAGTCTTTTCTGGGAGAATAAATAAATAAATAAAGGACAATTACCTTTATGAGAAAAAGTAAGATGCTATAACATGATTAAAAAGCATAAACAAAGCCTTCAGCTCACCTGGTCTCTCTTTTACCCATTCTGCCAGCCACTGTAGATTGCAATCACAGGACCATGGGTTTCCATGAAGGTAAATGCTCTCTAGCTCAGACATGTAGGAGAACATTTCTTGTGGTAGTAAAGTCAACATATTGTCAGACAAATACATGTGCTTCACGAAGGATATTTTAAATATCTGGCTATAGCACAAGTTGACAAAAGTATCTGGATGAAGCTGCTTAAGTAAATTTCCTTCCAAGTGGACCAACCTCAGTGATGTGAGTCCGTAGAAAACGTTGGGATTTACAAATTCAATTTTATTGTGGTCCATATGCAACCGTACCAAGCTCTTTAGACCATTTTTTGAAGTACTCTGAGCTTGTTATAGCTCATTTTTAAGACCTGTTGATGAAAAAGTAAAAAGTATATAATATTAACCCATGTTATATTATTATAAAACTCCTAATAAATTTTGATTGATGGTTGCTCTGTGAAGTGAAAGTACTTCACCAGACCAGTAATGTGAGTGGAAAAAAAATTTAGCAGGAGGAATTATTTTTAAATGCGTGAGTTGCAGGACTACAAGGATGCTTTCTTGTTCCAACAGCCCATCAGGGTGACACTTCTGCAGTCACATTTACAACACACAGTGATTGAAAAATAAAATAAAACAATGCTTATTTCTCATTCAAAAAAATCCCAATTAAACCACACTTATGAAAAGGGTAAGCAGAATTTGACCATAAACTGTGGTAGTGATTTTTGTTCCAGCCACTGTTATGACCACAAAAATGCATGCAACAGTCTATTTTGTTTGATGTTTAACCAGCAGGACTGCTACGTGTGTTCCCGCTTTCAGGATTTGTGTCATGTGAGATGTGTACTTGCCGAACCTCAACTCTCAGGTGCCATTTTGTTGCTGACAGGTTAAAAGTCAAATTCGTAACTATGAGATGAACAAATCTGGCATGCTGCTGAAGTATTAAATATGGTACCCAAGACAGCCTTTTTGTTGTTACTTTTCCTGTTAGAATTATACTGCTACTGTCACAAATTCTGTGTCTTGAAAATTAATGAGGAAAAAAAGTACAAAATCACAATAATGTGCACGTTTATTTTATTTGCCAAATATAATTCCATTGAAACTATCTATAATTGTGTTGCCATCTTGCTTGTTGGTAAGGGAGGAAAAGCTTATAGGACTCCATAAAGCTTATTTTAATAAGTCAGTCGCAAGGCGTTAACCAGCAAGCTTCCAGGCACAGAACTACCCTTTACGAGGGTTAATGAAACCTGAAGATCTGTATGCTCCAAAGCTTGTCTGGTTCCTGCCCTTCCCTCCCACCCCTCTCCCCTAATCCTCTACAACCAGGAATTGAGCCAATACCGTGTTTTCTGTCTGAACAGTTCAGGTCTCTTATGTTCTTAGTTCATCACAGCTACAACATTATTACTTCTCTATAGCAGTTAATAACAGCTCTAGATGGAAATGTAACTGGAGAATAAGTGTTACCTGTACATTGAATTAGTTGGGAATGGTTGTTCCTAAATAATCACCTAAGTACTTCTTTATATATTAATATCTACATGGCACAGTGAGATACTGAGATAGCTCCAGAATCACGGTATGACACTGTACATTTACTAATTTTTACAATATACATAAGTATAGGTAATATTTTATAACTAGGTAATATTTCAGTTGAAGACCAAAACAGGCATGAAATACTCCATTTTAAAAGTCCACAAATATGTATTAAATTACAAAACCAAGGAACTGTAGGTTTTTTTAAAGCATTAA